CAGCACTATATAGTTCCCCTATGCTGATCATAGTATTCCTCTGGTATAGATACTGCTTAAATTATGAAGTACCCCAGATATTTTAGTCTACACTATATAGTAGTTTTGTTAATTCATTAATGATAAAACATGAGTTTTATCAATTTGTCAATGGTAAAATAGTTTCATTAAGTATTTTATTGTTAGAGTAGTTTTTTAAATTTGGGTTGATTATTGATACTAATGTCTTGGTATATATAGTACTTATTATTAAATTTTTATTAAAATTTTTTTTACAGATTTTAGAAAATCGTACTAAAATTATTTCAAATAATAATGTGTTTGGTTTACTTCAAAATAAAGAGTTTTTTTTAAAGTACCGTCAAATAGCATCTATCCTTAAACCAGTAAAAGAATTAACAAATATTCTTGAAGCTCGCAATGCAAATTTAGCAGAATGTTTTATTGGTTTAACAAGACTTGCAACTAGTATTAATAGAATAAAGTCGGGAAATCAGTGAAAAACTTTAATGATTACTAATTTCAATTGTCGTTCTGAAAATTTTATTAATAATTTCTATATATTAGCCTATTGGCTTCATCCATTATATCACGGTAATAATAATAATCTATACACAATAAAATCTAGATTGCAAACTACTATAGTGTACTGACCAAAAGACTTGGGGTCTAATGCAAAATACCTGTCAAGCAACTTACAAAAGACCCAGGTATATTATATAGCAGTGGGTCCGTATCACAAAAAAGAGAAATTTTATTTATATAAATACTTCATATTCATGATAAGCAGTTTAAAAATTTTACAAAACATATATTTAATTAATAGAGATTTCGTGTTTTGCACTGGTATTTTGCAAGGGAGATATTGAAAAAGGAGGATCCTTTGGTCAGTGCACTATGGTAATAAAATTTATTATAATCGTCACATTTACTTCTATATAATCTAATCTATATAGCGAATTTATGTTTACAGCTTATATTTTATTCTAAATACTATTTTTTAATATTTAATATTTAATTTATTAATTTATAGGCTGTAGATTACAACAAGCTGTATTAAATAAAATATACGAAACTGCATCAACTATTTGGTATAATTTTAACTGTATAGAAGCATCATGTTTGACTCTTTTATCAGAAATAAGGTTATGGAAGCATAAAGAACCTCAGTATAATCTTAGTTATAATTAATTTAAAGAAATACCACTAAAGTAGTGGATGAGCATGAATGTATATGAAGAAAATGATGAATTACAAGAACTCACTTTATTTTTATTTTCAATTGTTCCATCTCAGGTGGTTTGTGAAAGAAATTTCTCTACACTAAAATAGCTTATTGGGGATAAACATACACAATTGAGTTTATTACGAATTGAATCTATAGCAAAAATTAGATCATTTTATATTTTAAATACAGATAAAGAATTGAGAATTTATGGTAAAGATATAAATGATAAAGATCTAAAAGAAAATTTAAATAACTCTGTAATTATGCGGCAAACTAAAGATTCAGAAATCAAAGATGATAATAATGATAACTATTCATTGACTGATAATTTAAATCTTAGTCAACTTGTTGATTTAATTTTACCTGAATTTTTATCAACTAATAATGCTTTATTTGAATCTGCTATTAATAGATTATCTTCTCACGAAAGGACTTATAATTTAGAAAATAGAGACTATGATTTAATTCAATTAGTATAGCAAATGATGAATGAAGAAAGTAATAATTTATAATTCATTAAATATATCGATATATTTTTTATTTTTTATTAGCTATATGCTTTTTATATTTTTTAAGTATTTAGTATATTTTTGATATATATATTATTAACATTCAATTATTAAAATTTGTTTTTTTAAAAAATTATATACATATAATATTACAAATAATTATTGTTGGATTACAGGATTAGTAACTTTAATAGCTTGCGTATGTGAGATACGTAATTGATCTGTAATTGATTCATGATCGAGGCACTTAATTTAATATAATGCAACTGATGTAATTAATTTATAATATCAAGGGAGATTATTAATATAATAATAATAAATGTAATATGATTGTTAAGAATCTTAATATTAGAATAATAAAGCAATAACAAATACAACATTTAAGCTTATACAACAAGTGAGAATCTGATTCTTATTATATTTCATATAATCAAGCTGAAGTCTTTATCAGAAGAGTGATCTTTTATACTTTCAAGATATATATGAGATCTTAAAAAAAATATTAGATATATGAATGAATTAT